TGTTACTCCCAGTTATCAGTTTCTTTTCTTCTTCCCAGTTAACTCAAGCAGAAATGTGATTTTGGTATATGAAAAAACCGAGAGATAATACTTGATTTTTTAAATGCAGTTATGTGTTAAACCAAATACTAAAGCATTGACTTTTATTCCATAGTCAGTTATCTTGATGTTGATACTATTTGGTGTTTTGTCTTGAACTCTTCCAAATCTTCTAAATTATAGTTGTGCCCATTTTGCATTTGGATGCCTGAGATGGTACACTATACGGTGACTTTAGGGAAAGAACAAGAGACTGTCTTGTTCTATATTTTTGGTATGCCAGTAATACCGTTCCATGTCTTGAACTCAGATTTGTCTTTCTTTTTTTTTCTAGTTTGGCCTTATAAATCCTGCCTATGTCCAATAGAGTGAGTTAACAGCAGCAGATTTAATTAGATTGATAGCTATATGTTTCCATATGAAGCTGTTTTCTCATCCATTATCAGCTTTGTATCACTGAGATATATGGAAATAGAAACAAAGTTACCAAACATGTGGTTGATAGTTGGAAATGCCATCAACCCTTGATAACCAGGGATAGTGTGAGCATTTCCTTCAATTCTTTTAGCAACTTAGTGTGCCCTGGAAAGTAGGATCAGAATATAAAAGGGAAGAAAAGATCATAGCGAGTGGAATTAATCAGGCAAGACTTGCTGCAGGAGCTGGTACTTGAGCTGAACTTTGATGGAAGTGAAAGATCTCACTTGATGGGGAAGACAGGGGGTCACTCTCAGTGGTTAGCACCAAGAGGAAACAAGAAAGGAGCTGGGAGCAGTGAAGGTGGGACAGTAGTTGTAAGGGCTGCTGAAACCAGAGCTTTTTGTCCTCCTCTTTGATTCTTTTTTATTATGATGAGAGAAATCCCAGACACCAAGAGACAAATGGATCAGGGGGTTTCCTGGTCTTATTAGTGATGCTTCCAGCTCATTATCCAAAGTGATATGGAATTGCTCCGTTAGTAACAGAACTTGAAAACAGAGGGTTTTGCCCTCCTTGGAGCAAAGCCTCTGCAGACTACTGGGTGACTGTCCATCAGATGGGAGTGTTTTGACCCTTCTTTTGTGGATTTTCATAGGATGGGAATTAAAGGTCCTGGTGGCTTCCAGCCATACTCTTTTATTACCCTATCTGGGATATTGGGCTACCTTTCCCTGAGTATATTAGAAATCATGACACATATGTATTTTTAAATCATTTAGAGTAAGTAAATACAATTTCTAAACAACAGAGACTTTAAATAAGAGGTTTACAGACACTGCATGAAAATATATAAGCTAAAAGAAGAAAACACATAAACTATTTTTTTAGGTTGAGTACTCATTTCCTCATATCCTTGTTTAAGAATAGACAAGAATTGTAAACCATGTATCTCTTCTGCTTCTCATGAAATGTAAATCATTGTGTGGTATTGTCAGGCAATCTTAACTCTATGAAAGGCATTCTCCAGAGAGTTGTCCAAAGTTGGAGGGTTCGGGGGGGACTTAAATGCCTAGCTGGGGGGGTATGGGTTTGATCTAGTGAAGAGTCAACAAAGAATCTCAGCAAAAGAATGGATACTCATATAACCATGTCTTAAAAAGAGATTCTGTCATCTTTGTCCAGCAGTATGAATGTGACATGAGTAAAGCTCACCTAGCCTTATAAAACAGCGAAATAAGGAAAATCATGTTCATCAGGAAAGGACCCATATCCTTGTATTAAAAGAGTCCTATTTCTCTAACTTAGCAAACTCCCCCAGTACCTTTAGAGTACTTATAACCTATCAAAATGTAATGTGTACACTTCTCAGTACCATGTATTATATAATTACTTAGGAGGTTCATTATGTTTTATGTAGACTGACACATTGTTGCAGTGCTCATATTCATTGTAATGGTATCTTTTTGTGGGGTGGGGGATAATTTAAAACACATTTTCCCCTTTAAGAAGGTCAAACTGTAGGGAAAAATACTCTTGTACCTTTTATAAGCTGCTTACACTCGTAATACAGATTAACTTCCCAGCACATAAAGGGAATACTAGAAAACTCTTGCATGATTAAATATGCCCCCGGAGGATTAAGTTTTTCCACATATTTTTGAAGCCAGAACAATGAATAGTGTTTCAGCATTAAACTTTCTGTACATCTTGATTATGGGGGAGGCTTTTACTCCTACTGCTCTTGCTGTTAGTTTTTCTGCTATTCAGATTTGTAGCACTGCAAAATTATCTGTGGAAACATGGGCTTGAAATCTGAAAGGTTGATTAAGGTCCAACAAAGTATCATCTCTGGAATTATTCTGATTTTTTAAAGGTTTTTATCCATTTTTCAAGCCTGTTTCTTCTTTTACCTTATTGAAAACCTGGCACAGAGTAGTTAATTAGTGAGCTTAGTGATTCAGAAATAAGTGATCACTAAGCACACAGTATTTATCATTTTGAAAAAGATCACTTAATTTTCATGCATATTTTTCCTAAGATAAAATTCCTGTTTGTAAGGAATCTCTTTATTACTGAGGGATTCAGTTACTAAGTGCCTTTTTATCCAGGCATTGGGTTGTCAGATTAATTTACTGGGGCTCATCAACCAAAGGCTTTGCTTTGTGTAGCTTGAGGCATACTGATCACCCTTTGCTCCTCCATGATCCCCAGTGTATCTGTTCCCTCCGGCCTGGTCTTACCTTCCCTTCCTTGGCTCCCTTCACTGGTACTCAGCAGCCCCTCAATTTCTTTGACCTCTCGGTTAGCCTTATCCTGTCAGTGCCCAAGCTTAGATGGGTCCTTAACCACATTTCTCCCAAAATGTATATTTTCTGTCCTGAGCAGGGGCCTCCACTTCCTTTTCTCACATTCCCCACGCAGCTGTCCCAGACCATCACTCCCCCTCAAGCTCCATGGCCCACCCATCCCCTTCTCTGGCAGCAGATGACCTTGCTGCCTGCTGTCAGACCCCAGAGCTTCTCGGTCCCCAGTTCCCTGCTCTCCTAACTTATCACTACTGCTGCTTTGTTGCCCGTAGCTGAAGGAGGGCTGCCCCTCCTAGCTCCAGCTCTATCAGGGCTTCAGAGCTCTTCCTCCTCCTCCTCTTCTGAGACTTTCCTCCAGCACTAGGGGAAAAAATAGAGACTTCTGTGTATTCTTCCAGAGATCTTACATGCATAAACAAGCATACACACAGCTACATTTCCCTTTCTTCCTCTTTCCTCCTCTATCTTTATTTTTTTAAGACATTAATACTAGACACATGGTCTGGACATTGCTTTTAATATACCTGTATGTCTTAGAAATAAGTTTACATCAATACTATAGAGCTACCTCATTCTTTTAACGGATCTAGATTATGCCCTTGATTGTAAATACACCATAATTTTGTTAACCAGCCCCTATTAAAGAGTAGTCACTTCTAATCTTTTGTTGCTGCAAAGTGTTTCAGTGAGCATCGTTACATATCATTTTTTTTCCCCATGAACAACTATATCTGTATGAAAAGTCTTTGAAGTGGAATTGCTGCATTAAGGGTTTATACATTTTTGTTTCTTTATGGAGAAATTTTTTAAAAATTGTTTTCTATTTCTTGTGTTACTGCTTCTCCAGCCTTTCTCTTCATGTGTAATTGATTTCTTGGATTGATCTTCAATGTCTGCTTTTTGATACATTCATCTCTTTATTTCTTCCGAGTTCTGAGAGAATTTTAGAGACATTCTGGTTCACTATTTCCTAACACTCACAATTCCTGTGATCTTTGAATTTTTAAATACAATAATCATTATTTTGTTTGCTTCTGAGAACTCAGACATTCTCAAATTGTTCTCCTGTCAAGACTGCAGGCCTTGAATCTTTTTATCGAAGGACAACATATATACAAAAAAAGGGCTTGATGGCTTTTCACAAAGTACACCAACACCCAGATAAAGAAACAAATGTTATCAGTATCCAGAACCTCCCTTGTGCCCCATTCAGTTACAGTCCCTCCATGGGTAACCCACTCTCCTCACTTAGATTCGTTTTGCCTGTTTTTTTTTAAAAAATGTAATCGTGCAGTAAATAATGCTTATCTCTTCTTTCTTTTAACATTGTGAGAATTATCTATATTGTTGCAAGTAGATATAGTTGTTTTCGTTGCTAAGTAGTATTCTATTGCATGAATATACCCCTTTGTTCATTCTACTATTGATGGACACTTGAGTAGTCTCTAGTTTGGACCATCATGAGTAGTGCTGCTATGGACACTTTGGGTCTTCTGATACACAACCACATACTTTTTTTGTAGGGTATATATATCTAGGAGTCAAATTGCTTGATCACAGGGCATATAAGTGTTAAGCCTCTAAAATGGCTTTCTCATTTTGCACTCCCATGAGAATCCCAGTTGTTCTACATTCTTGCCAGTACTTGGTATCTTCTTTTTTATTTTAGCCATTTTGGTGTATATAAAGTAAGATTTCATTATGGTTTTAGTTTACATTTCCCTAACCACTTGTAATGTTGAGCAACTTTTCGTATGTTTATCGGCCATTTGGATATCCTCTTTCGTGACATGCCTGGTGAAATTTATTTTTACGTTTTTAAACTATTCTGTTTTTTAAAAAAAACATATGGCTAGCCGGTAGATCACATTTCCCATCCATTTGTCCCTCTCTTTGTTTTTATCCTCTCTAATTTTTTTCTTGGCTCTTTTCTGGCCTTTTTTTTTTTCCCTAACAAGTGAACTTTAGAAGTAGGAACCCCAGCTTTCCTAGAATTTTTAGTGAATTGTCATGAAACAAATTTTGAGAAAAATTGTCATCAGAATTGGAAAAGGATATTGTCATTGTTTCTAAGAAGGGAAAATGATAAATCCTAAGCCCTCCCAGTTTTTGCCCTCCAGATTGCATTATTTAATTCTAGTTTTAGTTTCATTTTTGACAAGTGCTTATAGAAGTGAAAATCTTGTAATATGCTTTCAAAACCAGCCCCTTTTAAAAAATATAAATGTTTTACAGGTTCTTGATCAGTATGAACGAGAAGGATTTAATTTCCTAGCGAAGGTGTTTAATTCTTCACATTCCTTCTTAGAAGACTTGACTGGTCTCACTTTGCTGCATCAAGAGACCCAAGCTGCTGAGGTAAGAATAAAGCGAGCTCTCTCTACTGAGGACTGGGGTGTTTGAAACCTACTTGATACTCACATTTATGGAACAGTAAGGGAGCGGTAAATTCTGATTTTTTTCCTTAGAACATACATCACTAAATAAGCCTGCTAGCTACCAGAGAAGGAACCTTCTGCAGTCGCTGGATGTTGATGTGTGCAGATTGTTGTATAGTAGGTGCCAAATGCACATAATTAAAGGGAGTATGCATTATCTATTTTCAAGCACCTCTGGTCCTTTCTGAAGAACAGCATGCCTGTGGCCATGGGAGAGTTGTCTCTGATGTCCACACATCAGAATGTAAGACAGGGAAGACTGGGCTCTGGCCATGTTCTTCAGAGAGAACATGCCTGGCTTTTATTTCATAATTGGATACATCTTCTTGGGTCACTGAACTCTACTATAAAATGGCTTCCCCAGTCACAACCTGAGAGAGTTACATGTTGCTTGTCAATTAGAATATATTGCAGATCTTAATTTCCATGAAGAAGTTCTTAGGAGAAATGTGGCCTGTCTTATCATTTCCACAAGCTACATAAAGAAAACCTTGAGTGCCTGTGTCCCACAGGAGTGGAACACTTGCAAAGATGCTATTAGTCCTATTGTCCTATTTATTGACTCCCACCTCATTCCCACCCCTGCCTGGGATTGTGTGTCTTCACCATTGGGGCAGGCCCCAGCGGCCATTGGGTAGACATTCAGGCCCGATACTGGACTAGCTTGTGGCAAACAAAGGCTGCTGTTTGGAGATTGGAGCTAGTAGCACTGAGTAAAGAAAATCGAAACTACCAGAGTCAAATCCTTTGAAACTTTCAGCAGATTGAGGTGAGAGTTTTAGGCACACCAGAGAGGCAAGATAGTACATCTCTCGTACTACTTTTAAAACTGAAATCAGTTCTGGGGTGCCTGGCTGACTCAGTCAGAAGAACATGCAACTCTTAATCTGGGGGTCATGAGTTCAAGCCCCACATGGGGTGTAAAGATTCTTTAAATAAAGAAAACTTAAAAAAAAAAAAAAGCTGAAACCAGTTCTTCTTTAACTTGCCTTGGTGTCCTCTGGGCATTCAATAGATGTAGTACTCCACTTATAACCAACAGTTAGACACACATAGAGTCTCTTAGCTTCAGTTTCAGAAGATAAACAGCATCTCTGCTGAACTTAAAGAGAATTTGAGATTTTTCCCAAAATTGTGATTGGTTCCCAGACATGGTTCAGAACATTATGTTGATCACGGCTGCCATTTTATCTTTTGGGTAGCATTGTACTGCCTGATGATAAGGTTAAAATAACTTGCAGGTCTTTTCAACCATGCAATTGTTTGACTGGTTTGCTGAGGGAATATTTCTACCCATCTAGAAATTATTCATATACTTCTCTCTTGTTGGCTAGATGAATTGCAACTTGAAATTGACCCGAAATTTCACTCTTTAAAACAGAGCAGGTGCTAGGATAATGGGCAGATTCCTTGATGAGATCTGACCTGCTTTGCATTTTAGCTGGTCAAACATTAATAGCCTTTTCAAAGACCCAGGAAGAGAAGGGAAAGTTTAAGAGAGCAATAGTGACTAAATAGATGGTGGGGCAAGAGGGGATATGGTTTCATCCACAAATCGGAGTTTTCTTTTTGAAGTTTTCCCCCATTAAATTATATTTATAGTTTTGGAATCATAAGCCACACATCAAATTTTTGATTAGAGATGGTAGACTGGTTGGCCTGTGAGCCAGATATAGCTTGCAGGTGTGTTTTGTTTGGCCTGCCCTGTGTGCTAAATTCTGAATAAGTCAACATTTAAAACTTATGAATTTTACATAAAAATCTGAATTTTCCCATTTCTAACCTCTTTGAAAAATCAGATCTGGCAAGCCCAGGCCTGCATTTCTTAATAGTGATGGTTAGCTGGAGCAAGGATGCAAATTTTATAGATGAATAATGTACTTTATATGAAATTTGAAGGTATAAAAAATATTCTGCATGTAAAGGAAATCTCCTACACTTGTCCCTTACCACCTAGTTTCCTTTCTAGAGACACACATTTGTTGGTTTTTTGCCCAAAGTTATTTTTTAGGTGATATTCTCCATTTAAATGATGCTCTTGAGTTAATGACTCTTACAGGTATTAGAATTTGCAATCCTTATCTGAGAGAAGTATCGTTATTTTTTTTAAAAGAGCCTTAAATAGGGCTGTGGTGTTTTTTTTTTTTAATTAAAAAAAAATTTGTCTTTTTATTTCAGCTTATTTTCCATCATGATAAGTGTACTCTTCCTACCTCAACCCCATTTCCCCCATGCCTCCACCCACCTCCCCTCTAGTAACCATCAGATTTCTATAGTTAAGAGTCTATTTCAAACATTTTTTTTCTTTGTTATGTTTGATTTCTTAAGTTCCACATAAGACTGAAATCATATGGTATTTGCCTTTTTCTGACTTATTTCGCTTACCATTATACTCTCTAGCTGTATCCATTTTGTTGCAAATGGCAAGATTTCATTCTTTTTTATGGCTGAACCATATTCCACTGTATATATACCACATCTTCTTTATCCATTCATCTATCAGTGGATACTTGGGCTGCTTCTGCAGTTTGACTATTGTAAATAATGATGTAATAACCATAGGGGTGCATGTATCCCGTTCAATTAGTGTTTTTTTTGTTGTTGTTTTGTTTTGTTTGGAGGGGGGGTAAATACCCTGTAGTGTGATTAATGGATTATAGGGTAGTTCTATTTTTAATTTTTTTAGGAACCTCCATAATGTTTTCCATAGTGGCTGCACCAGTTTGCATTCCCACCAACAACGTACAAGAGTTCCTTTTTCTCCACATCCTTGCCAACACTTGCTGTTTATTATGTTTTTGATTTTAGTCATTCTGACAGATGTGAGATGATATCTCATTGTGGTTTTGATTTGCATTTCCCTGATGATGAGTGATATTGAGCATCTTTTCATATGTCTGTTGGCCATCTAGATGTCTTCTTTGGAAAAATGTCTGTTCATGTCTTCTACCCATTTTTTAATTGGTTTATTTGTTTTTTGGGTATTAGGTTGTATCAGTTCTTTATACATTTTGGATGGTAACCCTTTATTGGATATGCCATTTGTAAATATCTTCTCCCATTTGTAGATTGTTTTCTTAGTTTTGTAGATTGTTCCCTTCACTATGCAGACGATTTTTATTTTGACGTAGTCCCAATAGTTTATTTTTGCTTTTATTTCCCTTGCCTCAAGAGACATTATCTAGAAATATGTTGATACATCCCATGTTGGAGAGATAGCTATCTGTGCTCTCTATAAGGATTTTTATGATTTCAGGTCTCACTGTTAGGTCTGTAATCAATTTTGAGTTTATTCTTGTGTATGGTGAAAGAAAATGGTCCAATTTCATTCTTTTTCACGTTGCTGTCCAGTTTTCCCAACACCATTTGTTGAAGAGTTATTTTTCCATTGTATATTCATTCCTCCTTTGTTGAAGATTAATTGACCATATAATGGGTTTATTTCTGGGTTTTCTTTTCTATTCCATTGATCTGTGCATCTATTTTTATGCTAGTACCATACAGTTTTAATTGCTACCACTTTGTAATGTAACTTGAGATATGGAATTTTGATATCTCCAATTTTGCTTTTCTTTTTCAAGATTGGTTTGGCTATTTGGGGTCTTTTGTGGTTCCATACAAATTTTAGGATTGTTTGGGAGCGCCTGGGTGGCTCAATTGGTTAAGTGTCTGACTCTTGATTTTGGCTCAGGTCACAAGACCTCAGGGTTATGGGATCGAGCCCTGCATTGGGCCCTGCACTCAGCACAGAGTTTGCCTGGGATTCTCTCTCCCTCTCCCTCTTCCTCTCCCCCAACTTGCACACACACACACACTCTCTCTCTAAAATAAATAAATAAAATCTTCAAAAAGATTTAAGATTGTTTGTTCTAGTTCTGTGAAAAATGCTGTTGGTATTTTGATAGGGATTGCACTAAGTTTGTAGATTGCTTTGGCTAGTATAGACATTTTAACGATATTTGTTCTTCCAACCCATGAACATGGAATGTCTTTCCATTTCTTGGCATCATCTTGAATTTCTTTTATCAGTGTTTTATAGCTTTTAGAGTAGGTCTTTCACCTCCTTGGTTAAGTTTGTTCCTAGGTATTTAATTGTTGTTGATGCCATTGTAAATGGGATTGTTTTCTTAATTTCTCTTTCTGTTGCTTCATTATTAGTGTGTAGGAATGCAACAGATTTCTGTACGTTGATTTTGTATCCTGTGGACTTTAGTGAATTCATTTATCAGTTCTAGTAGTTTTTTGGTGGAGTCTTTTGGGTTTTCTATACAGAGTATCATGTCATCTGCAAATAATGAGTTTTACTTCTTCCTCACCAATTTGGATGCCTTTTATTTCTTTATGTTGTCTAATTGCTGTTGCTAGGACTTCTAGTACTATATTGAATAAAAGTGGTGAGAGTGGACATCCTTGTCTTGTTTGTGACCTTAGGGTAAAAGCTCTTGGTTTTTCACCATTGAGTATGGTGTTGGGCTATGGGCTTTTAACATAAGGCCTTTATTATGTTAAGATATATTTCCTCTAGACCTACTCTGCAGAGGGTTGTTTTTATTTTATTTTTTTTTATCATGAATGGATGTTGTACCTCATCAAATGCTTTTTCTGCATCTATTGAAATGGTCATATGGTTTTTATCCTTTCTCTTATTGATGTGATGTATCACGTTGATTGTTTTGTGAATATTGAACCACGCTTGCATCCCAGGAATAAATCCCATTTAGTCATGTTCTTTGATTTTTTTAAATATATTGTTGGATTCTGTTTGCTCATTTTTTGTTGAGGATTTTTGCATCTATATCCATGAGAGATACTTGCCTGTAGTTCCCACTTTTGTGGCATCTTTATCTGGTTTTGGTATCAGGATGATACTGGCCTCATAGAGTGAATTTGAAAGTTTTCCTTCCTCTTATATTTTTTAGA